GGCGGGCTCGTCACCCTGCGGTGCCTGACGAAGAACGGCGGCCAGGGCCACACAAGGGGCCGACGGGTGCGGGTCAGGGTTCTTGGCCGACGGAGCCCCGCACCTTTACCCTCACCCTCCGGTCCGAAACCCTTACCCGCACCCGTTATCACGGGTCCTGGGAATTTGGGCACCCTTACCCTTACCCGCGGGTGGCACCCTACCAAAATCCTCTAATTTAAAAAAAAAATATATGGAAACCGCCGAATTTGGATTCGGACGCGCAAATTAAGCTGCTTTTGGATCGACCCGACAACCTGGCAGCTGCATTACACGCCCTCGAACGGAAATCAGGAGGTCGGCCAGGCGCGGGACACCCTCGAGGGTAAGGGGCGTCCCTCGCACCCGTGGCTTTTCGTCGGTACCCGCACCCGTACCCGAGCCAAGGGTTCTGGGAATTTGGCGGCCCCTCACCCTTACCCTCCCGAGGGTTTCGCGGGTTCTCGGGTCGGCCCCTCGCCCTTGTGTGGCCCTGACGGCGGCACGAAGCTCTTGGACGTGACGCTGGTCGACGCCCAGGACTACTGGGACTACTGCCTCGCGTCGCCGCGGTGCCTCGTGGACCCGTCGCAGTTCGAGGCGCAGCAGTTCGGCATGCCCCTCGAGGGCATCTGCGACCACCTCGGCGCGACGTTCAAGCAGGGCAAGGTCGAGACGCTGACGAAGGAGTCCGCGACCCTGGCCGGCGGCGACGTCGTGCCCTTCGACTACTGCGTCGTCGCGACCGGCGGCTCGTACGGCGCCGGCGCCATCTGGACGGCGCGCCCCGACGAGCTGACGGCGGCCGCGCGCAAGGCCGGCTTCGAAGCCGAACACGAGGCCTTGGAGGGGTGCAGCAACGTCGTCGTCGCGGGCGCGGGGTTGGTGGGGTGCGAGATCGCGGGCGAGATCAAGGCCGCGTACCCGGACAAGAACGTGACCCTGATCGGCAACGAGCTCTGCCCGAGCATCACGCGCGCCCAGGCCGCGCGGCGCGCCAAGGCCCTCGAGAAGCTCGGCGTGGTCGTCAAGGAGGGCGCGGGCCGGATCACGACCGAGCCCGCGGACGGCAAGATCACGACGGACAAGGGCACGACCGTCGACTGCGACAAGCTCTACGCGGCGACGGGCTTCAGGTTCGACCCGGCCTTCGCCAAGGACCTCC